TGAGGCCTTCCCTAAAGGCCGATCTGAAGGTCTTCCCTGAAGATCATTCATGGGAGGAACGACCTTCCATACTTAGCCAAATTCCAGATGACAAGAGTATGAACTGGAATAGCTACTCCCGACAGGCCAACCTTGGTCCCGACATGCTCAACCGCTCGTCGGATTCCTTGTCGGGTACCTCAACCTATAAATAGGGCACTTCACTCTTCAGGTATCGTATTCTAGCTCGACCTCCATACTAAGGTCGGACTCAAAACTGACTTGAGCGTCGAAGTGTTTACCTTCTTGTGCGGGTCCGCTCTAAGTGTTYAGGTCGAGACCGGAGACCGAGTTTGAACTTGGTTCGTGAAGAACCGTTGTGCAAACTCCTGCATAAACAAGTATAAATATTTAATTGGTTCAATTTGACACTACTACAATTTTAAATAATTTGATGGAAAAATTAAAAGGATTTTCTTATTTGGGGATGATCGATAGGAAATAAAAAGAACTAAAAAAGGAAAAAAAATCAATTTGTAGTAATTAGATGATTTTGTTTGTGTTTGGTAAGGATTTGAAAGTAGGGATTAAAAGTAAAAAAAAAAAAAAAGTAGTGTTTGGTTAAAATTTTAAAGAGTAATTTTAATCCACTAAACCGCATTTAAAAATTTTGTATAATTAAAAGCTAATTTGAGAAATTCTAAAAATAGAAAAAAAACGAAATACTTATAATGAAACATAATATATATTAGGACTTTAATTTCATTCGAGGGGATAATTAATTTTGGAAATTTTAAGACACCCTACCAATACCGATGAAGCATTCCGAATAGTGAAGGCTGGATTTCACTTTCATGGACCGAGGCCCATAAAACTCATAACCACTTCGACAGGACATTCATGTGGATGGGCCTATAGTGGGCCCAGGCCCATTAAGAGCGAGAACAATAAACGAGGGGCAATTAGGTCACTTCACGTCAAAAGTTTCACTGCCATTTCAGATTCTGGGTCAATTGAGCAAACGTGGGCATAATAGTCAATTTCCCGTCCTCACAGTCACGCCCGCGCCGCCCCCTCCGTCGCGATATTCTGCCTTCTCTTGGTCTCAGGTATTTTTCTCTATCGAGTTTCATTGCTTACAATGGATGAACCTCCAACCAATAGGAATTAAACCCCTCGATTTGATTGAACCAAGACTTTCCATTCGATTGTCGATTTTGCCGAAAACCATTGAACTGAAGCTTCATGAATGTGCTATCGAGTGAATTATCCAGTAACTGTCTGTGAATCACAAATCTGGGCTGTTTAGTAGTTTGCTTTTAAGAATTGTTTCACAGAGCTACGTTTGTAAAGATTGAAATTGTTGCCCATTTGAAATAGCCTCGTAACCCTTTTCTAAAGAAAGACAACAAATTAAGCAAAACTTCCAAACAGTCCCTTAATATCACATTGTATTGTAACAAGCTTATTGGTAGTACTGTTGAGTTTGAATTCCCCTTTGATAATCCCATCTGGTGAAAATTTTCTTATGGATTTATGCCCTGGAGAAGTTAACCACACATTGTAACAAGCTGCAAACAAAAATTCCCTGTTGGTATTTGACATTTGTATTCATCTTCATGCCTCACAGTGGTGATCCCTTCTTTGGGGATATCTCATCTCCTTTTTTAATTTGTTCTACAAATTTGATGTCATCTATTCCATTAAGCTCGCTGTTGATACTTTCAGCATCTTTTGTAGTTTGCCCCTTATTGACAGATACCAGCACAGTAATTTTGCTTATAATTTCCATTGCATATATCTCAAGGTGGTTGGAAACTGAAGCGATCCTACAATGAGTTTGGGCTATGGCTCCATTGGTGAAACTTATTATGATGTACTGTCTTTGAAGCAAGATGCTAGCTATGGCGAAATTCGAGCTAGCTACCGGTCTGCTCCCCTTAGTTTCCATCCTGATAAGTTACAAGCTATGTGCCAGAAATCTCATCCCGACCTTTCAGGAGATACATATTTCAAGGTGCAGAAGGCTTGGGAAGTCCACGGCAGCTCGACATCTCGTGCAGCTTACGACAGAGACTCCAAGCTGCCAAAGATAAGGGTAAAGTTGTAGAACTCTTTTATCAGTGCAGATGCGGTGTCTTTATTGATTCTGGGGAGTTGGAGGAAATGGGATATCCATTGTTGAGAAATGGGAGTAAGGTTTCTTTGAGGACGCTGGAGGCTTTGCCTGCATCTGTTGTTTTGCCATGTGGTTCTTGCTCTTTGAAACTTCGTTTGCTGATTGATTTAAGTGTTTCAATTGATTGTTGAGTCTGGATCATCCAGATCGTATTAATTCTTTTAAAGATGGGTTTTATCATAGGGGAGACTCAGGCAGGTGACCTAATCGTAAACGAAGACGCAAGAAGAAATATACAAGGTTAGGCACGACTGGGTGTGGGTGGGAGAAATTGAAAAGTAGAATGAAAACGGAGAGGGACGATATCATCTAAAATAGAGAGAGAGAAAATGAAATGTTTTCAGATAAGGGAGGAAAATCTAAAAAGGAAATGGAGGAGCATGGACAGTCATTTGACAATGTCAACAAAAGATAACATTAGAAAACGTGGTTTTCAAAAAAGTGATTAAAAAACAATCCTACATTGGTAAAAGGACTATTCAGCCCGAAAACCCCTAAAGACCCTTTAAAGATTTGTGACAGTTCTCTGTTGCATGATAGTCTGATAGAATTTATTAGTGCATTGTGCTCTCAGGTAGAGTTTTATAGGTCAAATTACCGTTTTTAACTTTTAAAAGGTGTGTAATAAATTCTGAGAATTTTAAAAATTGTCTACATTCACGATCTTTCAATTTTGTGTACAATAGGTTATTTAATTTTTAAAAGTTGTCTAAAAGTATTTTGTGTACAATAGGTCATTTAATTTTTAAAAGTTGTTTATTAGTTATTAGACACAAAATTGAAAGTTCAGGAGCCTATTATATATTCTTTAARTTCTAAAGTTCCGTTCTAGAACCCCATTAGACAAAACAGTGTAAGTTTAAGGATCTATTAAATATATATATATTTTTTAATTTAAGAACTAAATTTGTAATTTAACATTTTTTCAAAAGCAACTTTGTCGAGCGAAGTTGAACAATTTTTTTAGGTGTAAAGTAAATTTTGGACGTGGGGTGTTAACTCAATAGTTGTATCACACACTAATTGTATAAAATGAATATAGATCCAATACTGATTAGACACGTATTAAACACTTGTTAAGTACAAAAAAAATATACATAACTATAATAAATTTCAAGTAAACTACATCAAACTCATTTTTTTCTTGAAACACATTTGCAGCATATAACTCGCATAGATGGTTAATGGAAAAATAAAAAATAAAAGAAGACGAGATTAAGTTTTCCTTTTAAAAAAATAGATGAAAAGTCATTAAAATTAACAGCGGAGGTCAAAGGGCTGGCCAAAAGATCATCATGTACCAATTAATAATTACAGTCGAATGTAGTTTCAAATTCAATGAAGTAAAAGGTAGAACATGTAATTTTCTTGACTTGTAAGCCTTCTAGAAGAGAAGGCAAGAGTTTAAAGCTCTGGAGGCCTATCCCTCACATATTTGGTCTAAAATTTAAAAGCAAAAAAAAGCTGGACTTTATGTCAAAGTTTTCACTTTAAATCACTTGATAAATTTGGTCGCAATAAGCTAAACAATCATTCGAGGGATAAATACGTCACTGGCCACTCCTCGTAGTCTATATTTACATAAAGTCTACTTAGCTTTCTTGAAAATTAATTTAAATGGTTAGGAATTGATGTCAAGAACAAAGACTTCCAATCTCTGTACCTTCATTAAATGCTAAAATGATCGATCTTTATCGAGCTTGAAGCTAAGCAAGCAACTATGTAAATTACTAAAGTTTAAGACCAACTAGTAGTAGATTGGTTTGAGATATTGTGTGTTTTGGTTGATTTGAGTCTAGTATGAGTAGGAGACTCAAAGGGTTCATTTTTTTGCCAACAGTTCTACTGTGTAAAGTACACAAAGACTACTATCAACGATTTTACTTGACAAATACGAGGATGCAAACATGTTACTCAACGAATTAGAATGAGACTACATGTTGTCTATGTCAAATTGTTCCTACACAATTAACCAAATCAATGATTATTTCTTCTTACCTACCTAGAAGTGAAAAGTAATTTATTTAGAATTACCAAATAATGTTCTCTACTTACTTGAGATACGGTGTCTCCATCCATCTTGTAGGAATAAATTTTTCACCAATATCATCTTTGCCTTTAAGCAGCCGGATGAAGATGCTTTGCCTAGCATGTCAAGCATGATAGAGAACAAGTCAAATTGGACGGCTAGCAATCAATCAATTTTCAGATGTACTGTTACAAATTAAAAGTCAAATTATGACCCTGTAATTTTTCTTCTCTTCTTGACGTTGCTTTCCACCTCCTAGTCACAGTCATGGAAAAGCATGGTTATAATTACAGTGCAAATGTGCAGTATAAAGTGTTTTTCAAGATTGATCTTTTGAAAGTGAGACTCAGCTTTAATGGGCACCACCCACCACTACTACCAGTTCCAATCCACCGTGGTAGAAGTGCAGACCCAAGTGAACAAAAAAAAAAAAAAAGAAAAAATTTCTTATCGGTTCGATTCGGGTTCATTATCAATTAAAAAATTCATGTTTTAGTTTGGTCGTTTTTTGTTGATTTTGGTCAATTTAATACAAGTTGAACTGATCTACTGATAGTGCAGTTAAATTCTCCATTTGAAAAGAGCAAACTTAGTATGTAGACAGCATACCAGATTGAGACCCAGCTTTGAAAGATCAGCTGTTTGTTTTCGTACTCTTTTCCCCCATGAGCTTTAATAGTGGAAGTGCCGCTTCTCGACCAAGTTGTCAAAAATATGAGACATTTGTTGGTTAAATGTCTCAATCCGCCAAATCTTGAGCTTTAAGTTGAGAATCCTAAAGCCTAAAAAAGTAGGTGTTAGATAAGCATACCGCATGGCAATTAATTTTCAAGGTAATGGAATGAGAATATATTGCAAGCTTTGTGCTGGAATCTCTAGTGCAGTTCAACGTCATTAGTTGGAGTGTCTTGTGCTCTTCTAACTTTGTCTTGACACCTAAGGATTAGAAAGCGTTATTTTCAATAAGCTGTGAAGGCACTGTCAAAAATGGAGCCATTTTGATCCCTAAAGTCAAGCAGCAGTAGGGGGCAATTACTTCTCTATATAGTTCGGTGGCTCATGAACCAACCAGCAAATCTAGCTTCTGCAATATGGGAGTCTTTTATCAAGAAGACCCACCAAATTCTTCCAGGAAATGCTTTCTAGCAGCTGCTTTGAAGGATGCATTCTGCAACTGCCATACTTTTGGCAGACGCCTGCCAAATTCCAACGCAGAGGACGAAAATCCTGCGAGTGACCTCGATGATGAAGAGGAAGTACACACCAGTTCATTCTTGCATATCAACAGATACAACTTTTGACTTTCCCCTGCATCATCTTATATGTAATATGTTTCTCTAATTTATTTTACTTCATTCAATCTTTCTTATCAGGAAATTGTATCAGAAATTATAAGTCGAGCGATGGAAAAGTTAAGACGAAAGACTAACCTGTCGGACAGCTTTTCCTGGGTTTTCTCACCTGCAACCAAAGAATTGTATATTACTTCAATGGAGATTGAGAAAATGGATGAATCTGGAAATGAAGATAACACAGGAGATGAGTTCTTCTCTGTTCAGAGTTTTCTCACATGTTGTTCAAGTGCTGCAACCAATGAAGCATTCTTTTCTGTGGAGGCCAACTTCTCCCGATGTTCAAGCTTGAATGGTCTTGATTTTCTAGATGAAGATCTCCGCAGGCGCTCCATCTTGCAAGAATTCTGTCATTGCGAAGGATGGCCGTTCGGTCTTTGCAGGAAGGCAATATTACTTCCACCTCTCCCCAAGTCACCATCTGAATCTTGGTCATGGAGTAAAGCCACCAAAGTCGTAAAGACGTATTGATGTCTAAAACAGTGCTAAGTTCTGTTTTTGTATTCTTGTTTCTGTTCGCAAGAACTTGGGGAGCAAAAGAGCCCAACATAGCTCCAAGCAGTTACAAAATTCATCAAGCTGTTGATTTGATTATATCTAACAATAAACATGTCTTAGCCCTCCATGTTATTTATCATTGTTAGGCAGTTACAGTAGCAGTAATCAGAGTTAAGGTTGCCCCCACGCAGTTCACAAATAACACTATAAAAACTCAGAAATGCAAAAACTAGAAACTGGCTGGACAAACTTGTTAAAGGAACCCAATAATTGGCAAACAAACAAGGATGTTAAATTCTGAGAATTCATTCATCGAGGTGGGATTTTATTAAATTGCTATTAACTCCACGATGAGAGAAGATAGACAACAAAACATTGAAGAACATACACCCAAACAAAAGGAAGCTCGCAATTACAGCCAAACTCTCAGAGGTGCCAAATTTATGCTCTTTGCTCGACATATGAGCCTGATAGACCAGAGGTTCCCAGCACAGAAACCTGTCGTAAAATAAAAAAGAAGATATGGTTAACAAAATCAAATGATCAAATTTCATTTATTAGAATAACAGAAGAGTGGACTATTTCCAAAACAAGTCTGTGATGAAATAATTGTAGCTGAACATGTATTAATCTGCAGTGCTTAGAAAGTAGCCGAGGATGAGCCACAATGTGGATGCACAGTGTTTCCCACATGAGCTTCCTTTCCAGTTTAAAATTAACATATGGTAATTTAGAGACTACTCTTTTATAATTCAATGGTGTAAAATTTTTAAGACTAATAGCTGGACATAGCATTTAACCGGACAGCCACTCGTTACAAAGCTGCAAAGGCCCATGGAAATCAATATTTAAGCAAAGTAACCTCATCTTTGCAAGTGTCCATATCAAAATCTGTAACGGTCAATCCACCTATTTTTGGTCAGACCTTTGGCGTGGGAGTAGGCCTTTGAAGCTGGAGTATCCCTTGCTATATGCATTATCTCTTAAAAAAGATGCCTCTGTCTCCGAATCTTGGGATGATTCTTGTGGGATATGGAACCTACACTTCAGGAGACAATTGAATGATGAAGAAATTCTGGAATGGGCCTCTTTTCTGAATTCTATGCCTAGATTCCAGCCCACAGAAAGTAGAGACACTTGGTTCTGGCCTCTAGAGAAAGAAGGCACCTTTACAGTTAAGTCTCTCTACCAAACTAGCTCCACAAACATAAGCTCTTTCTCTTCACAGCTATATAAAGCTATCTGGAATTCATCTTATCCAAAGAAGGTTAAATTCTGATGTGGGAGCTTAGCCACAAATGCGTCAACACAGTCGACAAGCTACAAAGAAGGTGCCCTCGTTGGTTCCTCTCCCCTTATTGGTGTTGTTTATGCAAATAAGCCTCTGAAACAATCAGCCATATCTTAACAAGCTGCTCCCTATCAACATACATCTGGAACCACTTCCTTGCTGCTTTTGGTTGGTATCTTTGCCTTCCAAATGGAATTACAGAATGGCTGAGGACAATTTTTTTGTTGCATCCTTTCAAAAAGGAGAAGGCTATCCTTTGGTTGAACTTCAATAGGGCTTTCATATGGATGGTTTGGACGGAAAAAAACTCCAGAATTTTCAAAGAAGCTGAACATGCGCCTCAACAATTGATTGATACTATTACTTTTTTGGCTTTATCTTGGTGCAAATGTGTAAATCCATTCACTAGTTACAGTCTAAATTCTCTCATATTCAATTGGAGAAGTTTTTTGTAACTTCATTTGGATATGCTTTTTTTGTATATTTCATGCTATCAATGAAATTTGTTTCCTATCCAAAAAAATAAAAAAAATGCTGGGCATAGCATTTCTTCTGTGGAAACTGCCTCATGGGCTATACTTTTCCATAGCATAGTTTTAATACCTTTCCCCACTCAGATCCAAGGCCACTGCATCTAATTTTCAAGTATATCATCTTTGTTCCCAAATCTGTCTCCACTTTCTTCCGCAGATAGTTCTCCTCGGGACCAAATGCATCCAAGTAGGTTGTATAGCGATCGTGAACTGTATGTAGTGCATTCTTAAGTTCATCGGACAAAGGCTTAACATCCTGCACATGGATTTTGAAGTTTTTAATTGAACAAAAACTGGAGAAAAAAATTAGTTTGAAAAAATTATAATTTTCAATACCTCGCCACTGAGACCAATACTATCATCAATTTTCATTTTCAAACTGATAAGTATACCACCAAATTCCTCAACTGCTTCAGCAGCTCGGAAAACGTTTTCCACAACTTCCTTTCCGGCCTTGTCGTCAGTGCTTCCAGATAATGCTGCCTTTACATCATAGACAACAGAGTTAGGAAGCTCATCCCAACTTGTAGCCATCAAATCCTTGAAAACATTTTGAAGCTTGGAATCTTCAATTGTAGCCATACGAACTACATCAACACTAAAAAGTCTCGCACGCCCTACACCAGATAGATAACAACAATCTGCAGAAATTTACCAGAAGAAACAGAAATATGATATCATTCCAAATATTGTGATACTGAAAAAAGAATTTAACTGAGCCCTTCTAGATTGTTCAGACACTTCAGATCATCATGGCCGGCTGGCATGGTTACGACATATGGTTATTTCTGAAATTTTCTGAAACTACTCTACCACGGCAATGCACATTGCCACACAGAATAGGTTGAAACACATACAGTTCATAATCGAATATAGCAAATTTACTATACAAATACAGAAGCAAATATCTGAATTTGAAATTTTATGAGAGAGAACCATATATTTAATAAGAAATTGCACAAAGGAGTTCCTAATCGAATCTATAAGACAAAATAACCAGCATACAATAAATTCATGTGTGAGTTCACTTATCGAGTGACAAAATCCAAAGTTTAAACATACATTTTTCAGGAGAGGAGAAGATAAATCGTGGCTAACCATCCAGGGGGAATCCTAGCATCACAAGAACAAATAATAGAAAGGTTCGAGAGGAAGGAGAAGGCAGTTTATCGATCACTAACCGACAAAAGAATCAATAGCTAGCATTAAACTAGTAGAATAAAACACTATAGAACAGATTACTCCACTTTATTACAAGATTAAACGGAGAGATTTGAATCAATGTACAAAACAGAGTATAAATATAACTAATCAGAAGAAGGAGAAGTACCGGAGGAAACTCTCTGCGGAAAATCTGAAAGAGAAGAACGATGAGACGACAGATAGAAGAAACTTCGAGCAGCCTGGTGGTGACTTTGCAGCAAATTCCGGTGTCTAACTCCGGCGACCCCGTAAGATCCGACGCGAACAGAACGCAATAGTGATCTCAGAATCACCATTTTCTCCATGGCTTTCGATTTTTCCTCGAATATGAATTATAAAATGGGTAAATTGCCAAAAATAAAACAAATTTTTCGTTTAAGGAAAACAAAAACACCCTACCAATACCAACGAAAAAGAAAAACTCAGAATAATGAAGGCTGGATTTCACTTTCATGGACCCAGGCCCACAAAACTCATAACCACTTGGACAGGCCATTTATGTGGATGGGCCTATAGTGGGCCCAGGCCCATTAAGAGCGGGAACAAGAAACGAGGGGCAATTTAGTAATTACACGCCAAAAGTTTCACTGACTTTGAGAGGATAAAATTGGCATCATCATGATTCATGAATCATCATCATCTTCTTCCCACTGAATTGAAAAAAAATAAAATAAAATCTGCTCAATTCCCTATGCTCAGAAGAGATTTTGGATGAGAGAGAGAGAGAAGGGTTTAAGTTTTCACGAGCTCTGAATTCTGATCACCGCCTTTGAGAAACCCTAGAAAAGCCGATTGATTGAAGGAGACAGATGAAGAATTTTGAGGAGTTAAATAATTTGTGTGCTGAGACGAGAGGGCAGTGGGTTTGGTGAGCTTTCACGTGCTCTGCTCTGCTCTGCTCACCTGAATTATCTTTCTATTTCAGTGGTTCTGCTCTCGCCACATCGCCTCCACCAATCGCTTCTTCTGCCCTAGATTTCTCTTTTTTTTTCCTTCCCCTCGAGATGTTAACGTAGTCTTTTCGGGACTTGAGCAATTGATTCCATTCGGAGTGGTAATAGCCAGGAGATGGATCGGTCGGCGCTTACGGTTGGGCCGGGAATGGACATTCCGATCATGCACGACAGCGATCGTTACGAGCTTGTGCGCGACATTGGGTCTGGCAACTTTGGGATTGCGAGATTGATGAGGGACAAGCAGACGGGGGAGCTCGTCGCCGTCAAGTACATCGAGAGAGGTGAGAAGGTTAGTCTGGTAACTGCAACTGCCTGCCATTACTATTATGTTGATTGCTTGGTCGCTGTTTGATTCTTCGAATTGAGCTCTCTGGTTACATTTTTGTGCGAATTGGGTGGGGATTTTCCCTCTGCTTTTACAAATTGGTGGATTTTGAGTAGGGGAGTTGGCAGAACCCTCTGCTTCTAGTACACCGTACCAATAAAGTTCTTTACAATTTATGAAGTATTGAGGCCTGAGGGTTATCTTGGACACGATTTTTATGAATTTAATTATAATTATTTGAATTGAATGTTATGAGATGATTGAAAAAGATCAATACTATTATTCAAGACATGAATTCTATTTTTTGATATTTGATCAACGATGCAAGTGAAGAAGAATTACCATTGAAACATATAACTTCAATTATATTAATATATAAAAAAAAAAAGCCTATCAATATAATTATTCATGACATGAATTTTGTATTTTTTGCAATGTTGAATTAGTAATGATTTGCGAGGGTTTACTAATTCAAGGGAAAACCAACGATTTTAAGTATTCTTAATAGTTTATATATATATATATATATATATATCTAATATTTTCCTAGCGACGTAATTCTATTATAGGAAAAAAAGGTACTTGAAATAGAGTTAAATTGTTATTATTATTATTATTTTTTTTCTTTTTGAAGAAGGAACAGCGTTAGTTTAGTGACAATGTGTTTGTAAATGTGTAGAACATTTAGTTCTTTTAATCACGATTTTTCATCAAAGTTTAATTTACCAGTTCGTTGCATTTGACAGATAGATGAAAATGTGAAGCGGGAGATAATAAACCACAGATCTTTGAGGCATCCTAACATTGTCAGATTCAAAGAGGTTTGCTTTATCCTTAAATTTGGTTTCATTCTCATCCACGCAGAATGTTTTCACCTAATATATGAAATGGGAACAGGTAATCTTAACCCCAACCCATCTGGCAATTGTGATGGAATATGCATCTGGAGGAGAGCTCTTTGAGCGGATCTGTAATGCCGGACGGTTCAGTGAGGACGAGGTTTGTTTTAGGTGCATTAGTCAATTATTGATTTAGAGAACATTTTATCATCAATACGTGGGTTAAGTTTTCGTCATCTGCAGGCACGTTTCTTCTTCCAGCAACTTATATCAGGAGTCAGTTACTGTCATGCTATGGTATGTAAATAATTTCTATTTTGTCTTTATCATTTCCTTGTAGTCCCCCGAAGTGCAATTCATTGCTAGAAATGCGAGGAACTTGAGTAATTGTTATCCTTCACTCATTTCTGAAGCAAGTATGCCATCGTGATTTGAAATTGGAGAATACATTGTTGGATGGAAGTCCTGCTCCTCGCTTGAAGATTTGTGATTTTGGATACTCCAAGGTACACCTGACTGACTTCTTGTGTTTTTGCTCTGAAATTTCTTCCTTAAAATCTTGAACTATGTTAAATACTAACGATGATGCATCTTGTAGGGAGTAAAATTTTAAGGTTGTTTGAACTTACTCGTATACTTTTGAAAATAACAAACATTCCACTGCATTAGTGTGTCTTATTTGATGGAATCTTGTTCACCGTGGAAGAGAAAATTTGGTTTGTTCAATTGTATCTGCTCTGTTTCTGTTGTTTGTTCTGGCATAGTCCTATCTTCTTTTGCCTGCACATATTGATTCCGTGTCTTCTTTTAGTCTTCTGTGCTGCATTCACAGCCAAAATCAACGGTTGGCACCCCTGCATATATTGCACCTGAGGTGTTACTTAAGAAAGAGTATGATGGCAAGGTAAAATATTATGACCGTTCCCATCTTTCATCCAAAGTTATACGATTTTGAACTTTTTATTTAATAATCCTTTCAGTTTTAACCCCGACTTTCCTGGCTGAATTTATCTTATGTATGTATTTATGATTCAATACCCTTCTATCCTGTGATGTGTTTTAAGGTTGACTTTGTGTATCAACTGTACGTTTCAGATTGCAGATGTGTGGTCCTGTGGGGTGACCTTATATGTCATGTTGGTGGGTGCATACCCCTTTGAGGACCCTGAGGACCCAAAAAACTTCCGTAAAACAATTCAGGTAACAAGTTACACTTGGTGAGTTCGCTTCCAATATTTTTTGGCTAAAACATTTGATTGTTTATCGCAGCGAATCCTGAATGTACAGTACACAATTCCCGATTATGTTCTTATTTCTCCCGAGTGTCGCCATCTGATCTCTAGGATTTTTGTTGCAGACCCAACCAAGGTTAGACTCAACAATCTTGTTTATACATAAAATTTGAAGATTGCAAAATACTAGTGCCTAGGAAACACGGACACACATTTTTGGGCGAAGTATCTGTGTCGGACACGTGTCCGACACGGATACGCCCGGACACGTATCAGACACGCATTTTNTCAATGAATCACGGGCCTCAGCTGCCTCAACAGATATGGACATCATACCCTCAACATCCTATTCAAGGCTAGAACATTAGTTCTATAACACCATATAATGCAGCCAAGCACCAGAGAGAGAGAACAAAATAGATAGAATTAAAAGTTCTCAAACTTAAAGCAATAAAAATCAGTTTCTGGATTAAATATTTCATGCAACATTTGTGGAATAGCAGTTGATTGAAAAAAAAAACAATTTTAATATAATAATAGTGTTGAGCTAGGAAACACGGACACACATTTTTGGGCGAAGTATCTGTGTCGGACACGTGTCCGACACGGATACGCCCGGACACGTGCCGGACACGTATCAGACACGCATTTTGGCGTGTCTGATTTATTTATTTTTTTTTAAATCGGACACGGCTGGACACGGTATGGACACGGGATGGACACAGGATGATAGTTTTGTGGGTTTTCGGAGCCCAAATAAGAAGGCCCAATGCCCATTAGTAATTAAAAAAAACAAATAAATGTTAAATAAACTAATATCCACCCACGAAAATGAAACACACCACCCACTCCACGAAGCCGACGCCGCTCGCCCTTGCCGCTGCCACTGAYGCCRACGCCCGCTTGCCCTTGCCGCTGCCGACGATGCAACCCTGCCCTCTGTTTTTCTTTTTTGCTTCTTAGGTAAACTCTAATAACCTAACTTTTTTATTTTTCAACCCTCTGTTTTTCTTTCATTTTCATATACTAAAAACAATTCTCATTTTTTAAACTGCTTTTTGAATTTTGACCATTTTATTTCACTAAATTTAAACTTTATTTTTCTTAGTACCTGCGTTTTGTTTCTGTCCCTTTCTTTTTTTTTTACAAGGACTTGTTCTCTGTAAAAAAATATTAATAAACTTTTACGAGGACTTTTTAAATATTTTTTGTGTTAAATTTACATATATCCTAAAAAAATAAAAAAAAAACGTATCCCAACGTGTCCGTGTCCTAATTTTTAGGAATTGACGTATCGCCGTGTCCTATCGTGTCCGTGTCCGTGCTTCTTAGACTAGTGCTGAGAATCTCTCTCCAATGGTTAAATCCTTTGTTCTTTAGGGTGGTAATGCTTTCCTTTCTAAATGGCTGATTAAATTCCATTTCGATATATTTTGATGTTAACTTCAATCACCTGGTACAGAGGATAACAATTCCTGAGATAAGGAACCATGAGTGGTTTCTGAAGAATCTTCCAGCTGATCTTGTAGATGAGAAGGCAATGAATAGCCAATACGAAGAGCCTGATCAACCTACGCAAACTAGTGAGGAAATCATGCAGATAATCGCCGAAGCTGGCCTTCCTGCTGCTGGGACACAGAGTCTCAACCAATACCTTACTGGCAGCCTTGATATTGACGATGACATGGAGGATGACCTAGAGACCGATCCTGATCTTGATCTTGATGTCGATAGCAGTGGAGAGGTTGTCTATGCAATGTAATTGTTAAACCTGCCAAAAGTTCATAGGATTGGACGGAGAGCAAGAACAGACTGTAGCACACTTGGACCATGAAGGTTGGAGAGATCCTTATGCCTTCAGGTAGCGGACGGTTTGTCAATAGATTTGCAAATCGAATCGAGTCGAGGATCCATCTGTTCCTATATGGCTTGGGTTTGGGGTTTTATTGGTCAACTTTTACAAAGTGTTTTCTGTATAATTTGTATCACCACATACACACGCACAACCCATGCTCTACAGTTGTATATTTTCCGTAGCAAAATATTGGAACTGCTTGTCAAACCTTTGTTTGCATCTCTGCATCTAATAATATATCAATAGTCAAAGGAATGAGAAGTTGCTGATAGTGAATTTCCGTTTGTTGAGTACAATTCATTACAAAGTTACTAAAATCACTATCAAAATATGTTATCTATCAATAAAAAATGCATGAAGAACAACAACCGAGCTTCTGATAAACTACACTCGATCCATCTTACGGTCAACTTTCAGTATGGGCAGCGTCTGGTACAGGAGCTAAGCTTTGGCCTCCTTTCGAATTCCCGTTTCCTGATGTCTCGATTCCACTACCTGATGGTGGTTGCGGTTGGATTTGAGCCTCCGTCTGTGGAGGCACTGGAGCTGGGGGGGTTATTCCCTGAGAATATGTCGCCGGAGGAAGAGGGTATCCACCCTGTTCATACACAGGCTGATGTGCAACATGAGGCTGCTCCTGCCCCCCACTAACTGCTTGATAGTATCCAGATTGGTCATTGCCTGTCTGAGGAAGGGATTGGTTCGGGTCGCCCGGGTAAGTCCAGTACCCAGCCATAGGGTTAGCCACTGGCTGGCTGTTGGAAACTTGGTATGCTGCACTTGGATATGAACCTTCAGAGGAAGTTCCATTTGTTGACGGCACACCAGGTGGTGCACCTCCTGAGTTAAGGTACATATTCTGCTGATCATACTGTGGAATCCGGCCTGAGAAATTTTGCCCATAACTTGGTGCCTGCTGGGAGTAGCTTTGATCATAACCATGAGTGCCACTTGAAGCTGGCTGACCGTAGCTATAGCCCTGATATGGAGGAGGAGCTGACCCAACCTGAGACTGTTGGCTGTGGTAGTTATATCCAGTGCTCGGATCCGACGGCTGTATAGTCGATTGGTTCGCTTGATCCCAGCTTCCTACTTGAGTTGGATAGTTGCTATAATACGGAGGCCCCGGGGGTGGGGGATAGGTTCCTTGTGCATATCCATATTGGGGTTGCTGCTGCTGCGGAGGTTGTGCAGCTTGAGGCCAATTGGTAGGAGGGGGGTAAGTTGGTTGTGCATAGCTTGTAGTTTCAGAGGTATTCACCAATCGTTTCTGCAGAAAGAATAGAGAGTTTATGTCTTGAGATAATAATAACATTGAAATTCTAGCAGTCTATCAAATTATATATCAATCTTCTCGAAATATAAAAGAAGAACGAATACAAGAGCGAATTTCCAGAAACACTTGCCAATAAAATATCATCAAGCAACCGGTAGATCGATACTAAAAAAATAACACAAAAACATTGTCTATAATTTAATTTGATCAGTAATGAGGTATCCTCTGGATTTTCATGCACACTCCACATTTTCAATTAGGAATCAGGCATCAGGCATATTAATATAACAGACAAGCCAAACCACAGAAACCTTGGCAGAAAATTAGTTACTCTTCAGAACCAAAACAGGAAAAAAAAAMCAGGGGCATAGGTGAGGGGAAGTTCGACAATTTAGATGTTATTTCCTATGACTTCCATTTAAAAATTTAGGAAATCATTCTCCCTTTAGTTAAGACAAAAACATGTGAAGGCATTACAGGTACCTGATAACTTACCCCACTTATTACTTCATCGATCAGTTCTTTGGCTGACTCAATCTGCTCCTTCAGCCCATTAATATAAATATTTCTCTCTGTCGATGTATCTCCAGGAGGGAGGTGCAAAGGGATGACCTGTAGGGTGGGAATCCATACAAGAAAATAATTAAATAGCATTCCGGATTAGAACAACAGTCAGAAAACAATAGAAGGCACAACTCGCACATTGGCTTCCACATGAAGAAGCAAAAGCATATCTCCTATTAAGAGTACAACCAATATGAACGTTGGAGAGAAAGGCTCATTATAATAAACTAACAAAACGACTAAGCAGCTGCCTTTTACAAATTTTTGACTGGTAAAAACTATTCTGAGAAGTCAAGGTTACAAATCTAACAAAAAAGAGTCTAACAATAATATTCTTTCACACTTGCCAATGTTATTAGAGATTCTTGGCTGTTTTGTCCTGCAATAAATGGAGTCGAAATGGTTTAACAGCCTTTTGTTCCCTTTAGGCATTAGTTACATACCTGGACACGAGCTGCTGACTTGCTTTGTATGCTCTTTATAGTTTCGCCTCCCTTTCCAATGACAAGTGCAACCTATAAACATTACTTTCAATATTAGATTCACCTCAAAGGGTGAAAAAAACACAATGAAAGCATTTACCTTATTATTAGGAATCTTCATTACAAACTGCTCAACTCCAGGTTGACCTGAGTTCACTCCCTGATTTGTGGCTGAGGCAGAACCCCCTGAATCTGCCTGTTCCATTAAGGTGTCTAAATTAGCTTAAGTATCCAACATACAAGATCTGAAAATGAGAAGGCGTTTTAATCAGTGGTTTACCTCTGCAATCACTTCATTGATAAGCTGTTCTGCCCTGCTAACTTGTTCTGAAGTGCCTGTTAGTTCCACGTCTCTTGTCAAAGACTGAGGATCAGCTTCTAAATCTCTAGTTATCTGGATTTTAGCCCCTGATTGTAGTTGAAGATATTTGATTGTTTCCCCACCTTTCCCGATAATCAACCCAACCTACAAAAGGATTTGTGAGGAAAAAAAAAATCAGCTTCGTCAGTAGTAGGCAAATGGTAATCTAACAGACAAGATGACAACCAAGTACCTTAATATTTGGAATATTTATTTTCTTACTCATGCTTTGAAAACCATGATATGGACCTGTTGGAGTACCAGAAGAAACTGAACACTTGAAAGTTAGCAAAAAACAGAATTGGAAATTTGTGTTTTTTATCAATAGAAATGCAACTACATGTCTACTATTCAGAGAACACAGAAAGCAGTGCAAATCTCATGGTCGCCAAAGCATGTTGAAAAACCTTAATGCAGGAAGTGATATATGATGTGATGCAAAGTTATTGGTGTATGAAATAAATGAATATCTACTTTATGATTAGTAAAATCAGAATTATTAAGCAGATTAAACATGCCCAAAAAGAATCTCAAGTAACAGGAAATCGAATATAGAATTGAGACTACATCGTACCTGTAACTAATACAATTAGTCCTTTCTAAAGAAAAGCTACACAATCCATAATTATAAACAAACAAACGAAGAAAACGAGAAAAAGACAATTGGATTTTTTATGACAAACACAATGAGATTGTACCATATAAAGCATCAAATTGAAGTGTCCTTTACAAAAATTTTGAAACTACTCTGCTTTTGTTATAACTAAAAATGCAGATGTTCCTTGTCTAAACTACACACTGGTTACTACAAAAAAGAACTTCAGTTCTAATTACATAATGGTGTTAACTGTTAGGTTAAAGACCTCATTTGGGGCAAAATAACATAAAGGTGCTGAGGAAGTCCAAAGAGAACAATTCCCCGAGCTATCTCTATCACCTCTACCCACCCTCAAATCTTGTCATTGAACACTATCGTTTCTCTCTCTCCATATATCCCACAAGCCTACCTCAATAGGCTTAACCAAAGGATCGTTGCCTTCTTTTTGAACATGAAGCCACAGAGCAATTGTTAAATGTTCTCCTTTGTATTTGAGCGGAAGGACTATTGTATTGTAGATTGAAGTTATACAGACAAAGTTCCAGTAATTCCTCAAAAATTGAAAGTGAAAGAAGGTATAATATCGACTATCCTTTGTATTTATACATAAAATGCACTAGTTCAAATTTAAGGACAGAATGGGAGGGGCATATCTTTTGAGCTCTTTCCATGATGTTAACTCCCCCGAAAGGGTCAAAACAAAGGGTCCACATCAAGAATTTCACTTTTCTCAGGCTGTTATCCTCCATATTGCAAGAGAAAGTGCTCTAGGAATAAGAAACTCTTTGCAATCAGGTTTTGGGACAAATGCTTCAACATAGGTTCTCTATTTCAGTATTTCCTTACATATTCTTCTATCTTCATCCTGTCAAAGCCTCAAAATCTACCATCTCTGCCTGTAACAAGTTCCTTATAGCAGTGATGTTTCACAAAAGAGTCTCACCATCCAACACATCGCATGCTAACCCTTTTTTGTTGTTACTAACTGCATAGAACAAAGGGAATCTAGTCATGAGCGGCTCCTATCCTATCCAAAAAATCTGCCAAAAAGGTCTTTTACCATTCATGATTTTAATGATGAAAAACCTTTCCAAGTGACCCCTCAGCTTCGTAATAGACCACCATCCAGCTGTCTTTTGTGTACCAACCTGTCTCCTCTCTCCCATAAATGCTTGCAAAGTTGCAATGATCCCCACTTGAGTAAGATTGATCCAAAAGATCACATAGCTGGAGGAGGTTGAGATGTAAAAATGTGGAGCTGCCTATTGTTAAAGGTGAAATGGGGGTTATTCACTAGCATCAAATCACAAGTTCCCACAATGGGGAGAATGTCATTTGCATCAACGTCCCCATTGCCAGGCATGATGGTAAGAAGGATTATCGTTAAATAAAAAAGACCGTGGGAAGGCTTCTTCAAAATTTCCAATACAAAAGATTACCCTTTCGTTTCGCAAAATGACTCCTCTCAACACCCTATAAGACTCCATAAAGGTCCACTCCAATTCCCTTTCTCAAAAAATTCAGGTCAACAATATAACAAATCTTAACCAGACGTACAACAGTTAAAAACTAGAATAACGATCGGAGCAATGGATAAAAATAAGCAACGATTCTACATGTGATTAAAGCTAGACCCAGGTTACAGCCTTGAGATTGATTTAGTTCGCCCTAACCAACTACTACAAAGCATAAAAATGGAGGAGGGAAGATGACCTAAAATTAAACGAAAAGAAAAGAAGCCCTAGATCCAAGGGAGTTGAAAATTGGGGTGGGTTAGCACCTACCAGGAAAAGGAGAGGCGGATAAGGATGGGTTTGGTGGAGCGGAGGCGGCAGTGGCAGTGGGGGGCTCGTAGTCGAAACGAGGGCGTTTGGACTCGGCATTGCTGACAAGTTTAGCAACGATTTCTTGAGCTTTTTGCTTGGCCAATTGAATATTCTCTTCGAGCTTACGCTTGTTAGTGTCGGAGTGAAGCTCGTCGCTGTGGCCGTGGTCTTTCATGGCGGTCGGAAAATGGGAATCAGCCGAAATCTTGAGGGGCTTCGAAAGTTTTTTGTGGTGTTGGAATCAGAATCAGAGGAAGGACCGGAAATGGCGCGGAGGCGGAGATAGGGCTTTGGCTTCCCCTTTAAAACGACGCCGGATCGGATTCAAATGCCAAATTAGGGTCTTGCCTTGTTTTTCCTTCTCCATGATCCAAATTCCCAAGTCTTGTTTAAGTCAAAAAAAATATAAATAAAAATAAATAAATAAAAATCACCTTTTATTTTGCCACCACTTGTCTTTTAACACATACTTATGCTGGACGAGAGATAACCTTCCGTGTATAGTTTAGTAGTTAACGCATTTCGATCTTTCTCCGGAGGTTAAAATCCTTATTTTCAGAGATATCCATATGAATTTCTACATTTGATTAATAGAAAGGTAGGATATTCAAATTTCTTGAGATGCTTAGATATCATCATATAAAAAAAATGTCTAATAAGCTTTTTATATCCTCTTGAAACATAGGTTTCTAAGACCCATTTGGTATTTTTTATTTCTTATTTCTTGTTTTCATAAAAAATATAAACAGGTAACAATTTATGTTTTAACTAGTTTAGTTATATTTAAATTGGCGAGAATGTTGATTGTGACCAGTTAGCATCGCTCTTGAAAACCAGTTCATACTGCACTTCCATTCTTTCAAATCATTAATATATTTTTCAATAAATACAACATCCAAAGCAGTCAGCCAAATAGTGTCGATGTAAAATAATTTCCTTGAGAGATGATTTTTGAACTGCCCAAAAAGTAGTGTCTATTTGAAAACTTGAAGAGATTAGAACAATTGTGATGTGTAGTAAACACGGCCTCCAAAACTTCTTGTGATGCATAAAAGGAAACAAACTTTCATGAAACTGGATTACATGGTGCATCCATAAAAGAAAAATGATCCTCTAATGAAGCAAAACCAGTGTCGTGCTTCAAGAGAATATCAACCAGTTCGCTCGGTCGGGTGGATCGAAACCATACCGATGAAGCCAGCAATGTTGCCTGCATAAAACAAATGGAACGAGGATTGGATTACAAGACATGCCAAACAAATCCTACATACACAAAATTGGATTGGTATTGCTAGATAATTGGATATAGTTGCACATTTGTTAAACAATACAAATGCGACAATGTTCATCACCCCCGTTTACGAGACCATTTAATTCGTCTCTTCATAAGAATCTCGATAATAAATATATATGCAGACATAAGAGACATAGTTACTATTGGATCTGGCCTCATTAACCGAGGCACCAGAGTCGGAATAAATGAGTTTAGATTCAAAAAAGTATTGAGCTACAATATCTGCTTCCTTAGTTTCCTAATACGATAATACCTGGTCCGATGTTCTTTATGCCCTTTCGATTAGTTCTTGTTTGTATTCAGGTGAGTACTGTTATGCTTCAGCTGCGTCGATGGCTTTCGGGGTCTTCTAAACCAGAGAAATGAAGACCATAAAGTTCTCAATAAACCCCCATTTGCAAAATGGGGAATGAATATGCGACCCCAGTACGGGTAGTATGGACCGGGCAGTTTGATGAGGGTGAAGAATATTGCAATAGTGATCAAATGCCATGGAACTTCAAGATCCTGGAAAAGGAAAAACTTTTAACATGTCACTCTATTTCAATGCAAAAAACAAGAACTAGAATTTGAGGATTTTATCTGTGACTACTACAACAATTCTTCAAGCACCCACTGAATTTCCTATACCATTATTGCAGCTTGTCGACACAATTTATGGCGTCCGAGGGCTTGTTGGAAATGAAAATGAAAATGTTTCCTCATAGATAATGTAGTTGTAGAACAGAAGAAGTCAATCAAGATCTTTTAAACAGCTCCTTATATTGTATTTCTACTCAAAGACAAGCACTAGAGCGCCTCAAACATTCCTAGTGAACGAAAATTGCAGAATAACTGTTGCACAAAATGAAGAATTACATACACAACAAATAATTTTTATTAAAAACAATAACAATACAACAAAGGACATAGAGGTTACCAATTTGTTTACAGGATTTTCGACTTTGAACTGAAAAGAAGGATCAACATCCAACCAGAAGAACAAAAGCAACATACTAGAAAACCTGCTGCTCATGATTGCCTTAGGTGTACGTATAGTTATTTAACCACTCCATTAATAGTGGAAAATTTAGTTGCATCAAAGCTTAGACAATAACGACTTATTAAAAATGGAATCAAAATGGAGGATACAAGGCCATTGCTTCTCTATAAACCATATTGATGGTCCATTCAACTCGCACATAATTAAGAGATAATGACCAAATCGTACCTTCAGAATTGGAGATAGACTCAAAGCTGTTTGTCTCATGACCTCAGCAACAGAGAAGCCAACTATTAATGGAAATGGAACAACAAAGAGCTTCTTTTCATGGGCACAGTAAGACATCTCGCTGAGGGACGTAACGGCGAGTAATGGCACACACAAGTATTTGATAACTGCCAAGACGAGATCAGCAATAAGCTGAATGAAGTTATCCAATGCCTCATTCCAAGGGAAGCACTTCACTGGCTCTGGTGAGCTGTCCCATAGTTTTTTTACCCTGTCCTTCAAACTATCCCAACTCACCTTCCCTGGATCATCTGATTGTCCTGCAGTCATATTCATGGCACACGAGACCATGGATCTAGCATTCTGAAATCTTTTATGCGGTTTAAAACTCACAACGTGGTTGCATTCTGGTGACCGATGGTGCTACAATATAAACAAAAACCGTAAATAAATTGCTCAAAGATAAGTCAACTCAACGATCCATTAAAACAAAATGAAAATCCTTTACAAAAATGTTAGACATTAAACAAGCTAAAAACCAAAAGTCAGAAGAAGTGTTCTGTTCCTCGTACTAACACTCTAGTCGGCCCGCAAAATTAAGTTGACAATCACCAACTAGATACCATGTTAAGAATCACCACTCCAAAAGTTTAAGCCGATAGATTGAGTAAATTTAATTCATATATGATATCTCAACAAAATTATCACCTTCACACGTACTTTGAATATTAATTTGGTTTACGAGGTTTAACATATAGACTATTACAATGGAATAAAGAGGAAATGACATTGCACGAGTTTGAAGTTTGGAGCTCCTACTTTTACTATTTTAACACAAAACCCAAATTTAATCATTTCATATCATCAACGTGGATACCTCGATGGAAATTTTACAGAATTGTCAATCAATTTGGTAACAACTATCTTACTCAGTCTTCCCTCTTGAATGGTCCCTCATTTCCTCCATGGCAATGAGAGGCTAAAACAGAAGTCTATACCCCATACCCTACTGTGTGGAGGAGGCAGTCAGCAGTGAAGGCAACAACATTTTCCTCCCAATAGAGTTTTCCAATTACCAATCGAATCACCCACAAATTCATTCCAATCACCAATTAACTTCACCCATAATGAGGACAAAGCAAATACAACCTCAATTGCTAGAACCGAAAGTTTAAATTCTTACCCACTAACTCCGGCTCCACAGAAAACACTTGAGAAAAAGAAGAAAGGGTGAAGGAGCTTACTCTGGGCGCTGGAAGAACCGGGGAGTGAAGAGCCATTTTAGTGGAAATTTGGAGGTGGGTCGCCATCGGTGGGCGTCAAATGAAGCTGTTGATGGACGAAACAGCGTTGTGGAAGAAGGGTTTCTTCTCAGACACCATTACCCGCGAGAAATCTGTAAATTTGTGGAAGGATCAGCTCCGAGCAAAACGAAAACCTCAACAATGGTGAATTTGGATAAAGGGTTTAAGATGGCGGGACCGAAATACGCTGCCGGCTCCCCATGGTAATATGGGTGAGGCATTTAATTTAATTTAGTTTTGGCTTTGAATTCTTAATTTCATTTTATTTAAATTTTTAAGTTAAAAGAAAAAAATTTTGCGTCCATTTTACCGTTTCATTATTTAAGTGCTTGTCAAATATATTTATTTTTTTATTATTTTTTTTTTATTTGAGCAGAGTGCTTGTCAATATGGTCGTGATTTATCTTTCTTTCCTCTTTCAAAGATTTCCACAATTTTATCTATTCGTCTTTCATCTTTCTCCTCAATTTTGTATTTCTTTTTTTACGCTAATATTTCATCTTTTGTCGCAATACTATATCATGAATTCTTACTATTATTTTGTATGTTATTATTTAATGTTATTTGGAATTACGTTTTTGACTTTTATATATATCATTAATCACATTTCGCCTAATAAGTCCGAGCCCATTTAACCCCRTCAAAAGAAAACCTAACAAATCATTGATAAATAGTTAAGTAACTCGTCCTTCACTTATATGGTTCATTATATAACGTTGTTTCAACTCTCTCGTGCTTTGGCATCTCCAATAGTTTTCTCTCTATCGATATGCACCAAAAACGAGGTACTTATCAATTCTCTTTAGTCTTTTTTTACAACTACCAACCCAAAAATTTTTAGTGTTGTATCATATGGAGTTGATTCACCAAATTAGAAATATTACTGCACTAGACTGGTCTATCATGAATAATCATAATATAAAAATGTAATCAGATGGATCTTCGGCTAAAAAATAATAATAATGATGATAAAATAAAATAATCAGATGGATCTCCAAATGACCTTTTTATCCATTTCTTTTTCACTGTGCGGCTTGCATGGTGATGCTTCTTCAACTCCCAAAAAAAATTATCAGTAAGTCACTTCCTTTTCAATGGTAAGATTTTTAAATTAAAAAGAAATACTATATATATATATATTTTCTTTTTTTACTTTAGAGTAAAACTACAAGATTGTGCATTACATGTATTTCTTAATAGTTTGTAATTAATACTTCAGTTAGATTTTTATTTTCTTTGTAAAGATTTGTGATTTGGTATGAACATTCTTACAATTTGATCACACAATTTTTACTTGGTTCTTCCAATTGCGTTGGATTGCTTTAATTAGTTGGATTTGGGCATACATACTAATTTGTAACGTTTTTATTAATATAAACATAATTCAACATTAAATGATATCTACTCTTTTTTTTTTCAAGTTAGAGATTCAAATCTCACCCAGCACTAAAAAAATTAAGCATTTTTTATATGCTTGATTTTTTACTTTATCATTGGGTTTGGGTATTTTTATGACATGATGTTTGGTGTTTTGTTGGTTGAATTTTATGCGATTTTCTAGTTAATTAATGTTTAATTTGTTTTGATGAGATAATAATTTCTAAAGCTTATTTAAGTTAAGGTTCAAATAATGCACTAACGATTTATGAACAAATTTAATTTGTATGATTTTAGTCCACGTACTTTTTAAATTCGTAACAATTTAGTCCCTGAATTTTAGTGCACAACAATTTAGCCTATGTAGTTTAAAGTTTATAATGATAGTCTCTGTCGTGAAATTTTTTGTTAAGTTTCTTATATATGTAGATCAATAAATCGACGAATGACCAAATGTGTTTTTAAATTACAAAAACTAAATTGTTAAATGATAAAATTGGACACTTAATTTTGATTCGATAGGAACTACATTGATACAAAAATTTTAAACAAYTAGGACTAAAGTGTTACATACTGAAATTCAAAAGCTAAATTCTTATCTATTTGAATATCTATTTGAAAATGCAGGGACTAAACTGTTACAAATTAAAGTACAGGGACTAAATTGTTACTTTAACAAAGGTTGTCTGGACCAAATGTATTTTTTAACCCAAGATAAAATTGAAGTTAAAATTAACATTAATATAAAAAATAAAATATTTCTTTTTATATTTTCTTAATTAGAGACCCGTGCGAATTAGAACTAAGTTAATGTTGACAATATAAAGATAAAAGTTATGAATTTGGTCTTTTTAGTTAAATTAATATATATATATATATATTTATAATTATAGTCTTTATATATTAATCTTCATATCAATTTCGTCATTATACTTTAAAAATATTTGCCAATAATGTAGTCTTGGCGAGAATAGTAGTAAGCAACACCCAACCATTTGGGGAGAGGAGCAATTGAGGCAGTTTATTCTTTATTTATGGTATTACTTTTCTTGAAATTAAACTAATTTTAATGTTTTAAAATTAAAATTTATTCAACCTAAAATAAACATTTTTAATTAATAATAAATTTGAGTTGATTTAGATTTGATATTAGTATTTACAATGATACTAGAATTTAATGTTTTAATATAATATTTTGTATTTTATTATCATCTTCCTTTCGTCTAAAAGAATAGTCTACATGTGGAATCTGAATTATCTTTATATATATATATATATATATATATATATATAACATATAGGGTGAGATTTCGAACCATTCATTTTTTGGTCAGAGATATATGCCAATTATCATTAACGTATGCTCGGTTTTTTTTAAATTGAACTATTCTTAAAGAGTTAATTGAATAAAATATATATTAATACAGAGATACGTAATACATATAATTGGACCACAAAAATAAGTTATGATTTGATTCAAAGAAGGAATATTCAGGGACCAATAATAATAATAACTCCACTAAACAAGCGCAATGTATTYAGTGGGATTTTCTTTTTAAATGACACTTTTTTAAACTTATTTTTAAAATCATGCTCGTATTAAAAAAATGCAAACTTTGAAACTATTTCAAAAAATAATGCTTTGGAATTGAGCTCGCCACTCGATCGTCATTTTTAGAGACGATCATACAACATGGCGCCAACACAACCCCACRTCTAATTTGTTTTAGATAAATTGATAGTCGTCTCTTGAACTCCATCTAGGCATAAATTTATGGTCGTCTCTTCAAGAGACGAGCCATGTTGATTTATTTGAAAAAATATATATATTAATTATATTATATATTAACAAATAACAAATAATTTCTCATATTAGTCTTTGATTGAGTGGATATAACTTATTCCTTACAACTTTGGCTTTTTGGATTCRAGACAAACTGGAAKCCAAGAAGTACTTCATCAAACTACTATCCAAAGAACTTCATCAAGCTGTAAGTCAAAGATTTCAACAAGCTACTTGAACCTCAATAAACTATAAGCCCAAAACTTCCTTAACCTRCCAGTCAAAGATTATTTATCAAGTTATAAGCTAAAAAGGTCAAGGTTCTTCAACAAGCTCAAAGTCGGAAACCTCAAAGATCCTTCAACAAGTTAAAAGTCATAGACACCAATCTTCTTGATATGAGAACAAGCTCATTAGCACTCAAATCAAATACACACCTAAGGAAAAGTATCATAAAAATTTATATYAGCCAGATATTCAGGTAAGACTTATACATAAATACAAATTAAGTTCATTAAATTTGAATTCTCTCCCTAGAAATTACTCAGGAACGAACTAAAATAAAAATACTTGAAAACGTATAGAGATCAAAATAAAATAATCAATAAAATTTACAGACCAAGTGAAATTTAAAAATTATATTTGTAATTGTCAAATTTTGAACTTAAAAAAAAAAAGTTACAACATCTCACTATGTCATGTTTGATAAAAGAAGAAAAAATAGTGACATTTATTTATAAAAGAAGTCATGATCATCTCATGTATTAACTATTGAAAGGATGTTAGGTATTCATTTTATGAATAATTAAGATGTGAGCTACTTGGCTATCAAGTTGAGTTATAATTATATATGTATATAATCCATAGTTGGCTTTTGGAAAAAAGGGTAAAAAAGTACTCAAATTTAATTCCAACTAGGCATTGATTTTGATGTCTCAAATTATTCCCATGGTTTCTAGCCATTGATGTCTCAAATTATTCCCATGGTTTCTAGCCAAGTAAAAGTGAGATTAAAGATTATTGGAGTTGTTTACCAATAAATTAGATTATTAAGTTTACTTATTTTATTTTACCACTTGAACTTTATTTAATTATTGGTCGTTCTTTAATGTTGTCGAGTTGACAAATAATAGGTTAAAGCTAATATGATGACGTTTTTATATTTTAGTTTCTTTATGTCTTTTATATTTTGTTTTATTGAAAATGGATAGATTTGGTGTTGTTTTTTTTTCTTTTGGAGAAATTTTTGGCTGAATGTATCATTTAATCCTAATTAAAGTTTATAYTGTTTTTATTTTAATTTCTTCTTGAATGGTTTAATTTTTTAAAAAAAAATATTTGCCAATAATAAGTAGTGAACATGCAACCTAATTTTGTCTCATTTTCTTTGAAGCATGCAATGCGCCACAAAAGTTGAAATTTTTGTTTGGCTATCAGTTTATTTATTTATTTTTTAAAATAAAGTTGGAAATAACATGATTAAAGTTAATGGGAGTTTAAAGCGAAGTGGATTTTGTTAATTAAATATGTAGTCATGATGATGAGTTAGAGAATCCAGTCATATTTAAGATTTAAAAAACGTTTTAAAATGATCCCGAAAAGTGACTGATTAAAAGAAATCTTAAAAAAGAGTTAAAAGCTACCATTTTGCTATATAAAAATTTAAAAGTTGAAAATAATGAATTAAATATGTATAATATATGGACACATAATATATATATATATATATATCTTGGACCCACAAAATAAGTTATGATTTGATTAAGATAAGTAATATTATTCATGGACCATTAATAAAATAATTTCAATATGCTACAATGACATGAAACTAAACAAGTGGAATGTATTTAGTGGGCAAAGTAATTAAATTTATTTGCACACACTTATCTAACAAATTTGAATTTAATTAAGATTGTGGAAAATGTGATTTAGTATTAAATGGCAGCAATCATCTGACACACATATATTTATATAAAGATTTTTTTCTCTTATTTTAATGGAAGGATTTTAGACCTAGGCAAAATGTTCAAAA